CTCAGTGTGACTCAGATGACCACAGATGCTCTGACATCACAGCTTGTGCGTCTATGCTCATGGGAAACGGTGTCCTTTGAAAGTCTAGCTATGTAAATACCAACAAGGCCAAGTCAGGCCTTAAAAGGGATTTAACATATTTATCATTATAGACCTCATGTCCCTTCCCTGCTGCTCTTTCCTGTCTATGTTTGCTTGTTCTGCTGTTCTATGGCTGAACTCTGCTTCTGTGACGTAAAGCACCTGAACAATGGAAACCACCTATAGCCTATACGTCGAGATCCTCGTTATGATAACATCCTTTAGATTCCCTCATGCACCACCAGCTGTGCACAATTAGCCAGCCTTCCCCTAGGTTTGACATGCAGTTAAAATTAGACTACTTTGCTTTACTATGACCGGAACGTAGTCAGTTTTAGTAGAGTAAATGTTTAAAATGTCTGAGCATAAACATTTAAACAGGACGTTTTAATGGAAGTTATTGTAATGGAAAAACCTGTGGAGTGAGTACGGCCTGGCATTTTACAGGCATGTGGGCCGGTTTCCCAGACACAGATTAAGCATAGTCTACGACTAAAAGTTATTCTCAATGGGGAAGCTCCATTTAAAGTCCTTTTTAATCAAGGACTAGGCTTAATGTCCGATGCCATTAAACTGAAATGTACGAGCAGTGTCAAATTGGGCATTTCTTGTGTCATGGGCAAATTCCACCACCACTATTATCAACATTAAAGCCCTGAAGCTTGTGGTCTCGGTCAACACAAATGACATGTTTCAGATTACAATATTTTTTCCTTCTTTTTTTTACCCCTTTTTCTCCCCAATTTATTGATATCCAATTGCGATCTTGTCTCATCGCTGCAACACATTAGTGCAGCTGGCTCGGGAGAGGCAAAGGTCTAGTCATTCGTCCTCCGAAACATGACCCGCTAAACCGCGCTTCTTAACACCAGCCCGCTTAACCCAGAAGCCAGCCGCACCAATGTGTCAGAGGAAACACCATTCAACTGATTACCAAAGTCAGCCTGCAGGCGCCCGGCCTACCACAAGGAGTCGCTAGAGCGCGATGAGCCAAGTAAAGCCCCCCCCGGCCAAACCCTCAGACGACGCTGGGCCAATTGTGCGCCGCCCTATGGGACTCCCGGTCACAGCCGGTTGTGACACAGCAGCCTGGGATCGAACCCGGGTCTGTAGTGACGCCTCAAGCACTGCGATGCAGTGCCTTAGACCGCTGTGCCACTCGGTAAGCCACAGAGGAGAATCTAAATCCAGATACAGGCTAGTCCAGATACATCTGGTCCCAAATAATCCTTTACTGCAATGCATGCACTGCCCACTGATGAATTGACCTGTGATGCTCACTGACCTCACTGCCCTCACTGCACTCAACAACAAAGACCAGTGTACCCTCTAATCGAAGCTAAACCTTGCCCACACTGCCCACTCTTTTACTGACCGTTCACTGCTGTTCTGATTAATGAGCTATACAGACCCTTTCTCCTTACTGACCAAATCCTCACTCTATCCCTCCTTCTCCTCCTCTCTTTCTGTATTTACTGACCACCTGACTCATTCCTTCCTCCTTCCCCCTCTCCTCCCCTGGCTCTGTATGTTTGGCCCTCTTCCATGTCCCACTTCTTCAGTGCTAGGCCTTTATGTAATGTCAGTATGTTAGCGCCTTACATAACCACAATCAAAGTCTTCATAGTGTCAGGGGACACAACACAATGCAAGTATTCTTTCCCTCAGTGCAAGAGGGGATGAGCTTGTGTGTGTGTGTATTTCTGGTGGAGGCCTCTCTTGGTGTAATCAGTTCCTTAAAGAGCACTTCTGTTCCCCTCACTCACCCTTCCTGCTCAACCCTCCAAAGGCCTCTCTCTCTCTCTCTCTCTCTCTCTCTCTCTCTCTCTCTCTCTCTCTCTCTCTCTCTCTCTCTCTCTCTCTCTCTCTCTCTCTCTCTCTCTCTCTCTCTCTCTCCATTCTTAGCTCCTTCAGTCAGGAGTCCTTACCCCAGAAAGGTTTTCTGGGTATAGAAGGCAGTGACCCAACATGGCCAGCTTGGTGCCGATATCACTGTCAACCCCCCCCAATAACACCTCAGAGCTAGCAGGGTGAATTCACTGTAGTTCACTCACTGTTTGACCGGTCAGTTGAATCAGGCTGAAACTAACCCTGGACGGGATTTCACAAAACAGAATAAGCAGTACTCAATCAACAACTTATTTGTGGTCTCTCGATTAGTTATTAGAGAGATACATAGAGACACATTTAGTCAATTCAATTGTATGGTTATCGCCATATAGATTTAGCCATGTTTTCGATGTTCAGTGCATTTGTGTTTGTGGAATGTCTTTCATTTCATTCGCTGGTGGGAAATGTATTTCTCAACATCCCATCTCTTTAGAGGCTCACTTGATAGAGGGCCCCACTCTCATGAATATTCAAACATCTGACAAAGAGAGGGCAGACAAACACTGTTCAAACAAATTTTCCTCCCAAAACCCTCCACAATTATCCGTGCCAAATTGATTGATTCTAGGAAGCCATTGCGTAACTCCTAATTAGTTTACCCTCGTTTTTTGATTTAAAGGAAAACTCCACCCAAAAACTATCTTTTGGTATTTGTTTCATTAGTCCATTGTTGATATAGTCCCAAAATGTTTTGCGTTTCAGCAATCAAGTTTTCAAGATATATAACTTTCAAAATACAGAAATACACTGAGTATACAACACATTAAAGAACACCTTCTCTTTCCATGACATAGACCAGGTGAATCCAGGTGAAAGCTATGATCCCTTATTGATGTCACTTGTTAAATACACTTCAATCAGTGTAGATGAAGGGGAGGAGACCGGTTAAAGAAGGATTTTTAAGCCTTGAGACAATTGAGACACGGATTGTGTATGTGTTCCATTCAGAGGGTGAATGGGCATGACAAAAGATTTAAGTGCCTTGAACGGGGTATGGTAGTAGGTGCCAGGCGCACCGGTTTGAGTGTGTCAAGAACGGCAACGCTGCTAGGTTTTGCAACTCAGTATTAGGAAGGTGTTCCTAATGTTTGGTATAGTGTACAGCCGGTTTGATGCATTTTGCATCATATGATGAAGGCCTTAAGGCTGATCGGTAAGCTTAATAAATAAGTGATACTAGCAAGAGCAGTGTGCGGGTTTCTCTTTTCTTTCATGTTATTCAATTGTTACCATGGCACCTGCAACAAAGATAGTGTCACGATCGTGTATGAGTGCGTAGACAGGCGCAGCGTTTTGTTGAAACATGTTAATTATAAAGTAAACAAACACGACTCGTGAAGTCACGGTAACATACCGACACAAAAACCACCCAACCAAGGGAAAACATACAGTTAATATGGCCCCAATCAAAAACAGCGATCGTTGCTCTGATGGGAGTCACACAGGCAAACATAGAAACAGACAACCTAGAACACCCAAACAAAGAAACAGAACACATAGAATAAACACACCCTGGCTCAACCAATAGAGTCCTCCTCGGCGGCGGCTCCGGCTCCGGTCTTGCCCACCACCCTCCAACAAACCCCCCATAGCGCCCCTGGTCCGGTCTGGCCCCGCTGGCTGGAGCTGGACTGGACGTAGCAGGGGCGGTAGGCTTCAGCTCCTTAGTGGAGCAGTTGAGCGGTACCTGAATTGGCACCGATGACCCAGGCACGGGTTGTGCCGGACTGACGACTCGCACCCTAGACTTGGTGCGTGGAGCAGCGACGGGCCTTACCAGGCTGACGACTCGTACCCCGGGCTTGGTGCGAGTAGCAGGAACGGGCTGAGCTGGGCTGTCGACGCACACCGTAGGCTTGGTGCGTGGAGCAGGAACAGGCCGGGCTGGGCTGGCGACGCACACCGTAGGCTTGGTGCGTGGAGCAGGGACAGGCCGGACAGGGCTGGCGACGCACACCGTAGGCTTGGTGCGTGGAGCAGGGACAGGCCGGGCTGGGCTGACGACGCACACCGTAGGCTTGGTGCGTGGAGCAGGGACAGGCCGGACAGGGCTGGCGACGCACACCGTAGGCTTGGTGCGTGGAGCAGGAACAGGCCGGGCTGGGCTGTCGACGCACACCGTAGGTTTGGTGTGTGGAGCAGGAACAGGCCGGGCTGGGCTGGCGACGCACACCGTAGGTTTGGTGCGTGGAGCAGGAACAGGCCGGGCAGGGCTGGCGACGCACACCGTAGGCTTGGTGCGTGGAGCAGGGACAGGCCGGACTGGGCTATGGAGACGGATAGGAGACCTGGAGTGAAGTGCTGCCACAACCCGTCCTGGCTGAATGCCTACCTTCACACACTCTGTGTGAGGCATCAGCACAGGACGTACAGGGCTGTGTACCCGTACTGGCATAACAGCACGTGACACTGGCGCAGGATATCCGGGACCGAGGAGAGGCACTGGAGGCCACGAGCGCTGAGCCGGCACACTCCGTCCTGGCTGCATGCCCACCTTCGCACAACACGTGCGGGGTGCTCGCACAGGACGTACCGGACTATGCCGGACCACTCGTGGCACAGTGCGCAGCTCCGCATACCGCGGAACCTGCCCAGTCTCATGCTGCCATGCCTGAGTACGGGGAGTTGGCTCTGCTCTCCATCCAGGCTCCGCCAACCTGCCTTCTGGCCCCCAAAACCCGGTGGCCTCCTCTCCTAATATCCCAATTCGCCCTGTGGCAGCCTCCTGCTGCCCAGTCGCCCATGCCGTGTGCCCCCCCCTAAAAAATTATTGGGGGTGCCTCTCGCCTGTCCGACCACGGCCCGGTTGACGCCGCTTCTCCACTCCTGCCTGGATCTCCCCCTTCATCGCCTTCCGGTACCGGACGGCCTCCTCCTTCGTAATCTGCCCCCAGCCGAGGAGGACATCCACCAGCGTTACCTCCTGCGTGTGTTCCTGGACACGCTGCTTGGTCCTGGTTTGGTGGGTTTTTCTGTCACGATCGTCGTATGAGTGAGTAGACCAAGGCGCAGCGTGTGAAACAAACATGACTTTAATTAGTTAAAGTATACCAAAACACGACTCGTGAAGTCCACGGTAAACAAATACCGACACGGAACAAAAACCCACCACACCCAAGGGAAAACATACAGATTAAATATGGCTCCCAATCAGAGACAACCAGCCGACAGCTGACACTCGTTGCCTCTGATTGGGAGTCACACAGGCAAACATAGAAACAGACAACCTAGAACACCCAAACAAAGAAACAGAACACATAGAATAAACACACCCTGGCTCAACCAATAGAGTCCCTGAGCCAGGGTGTGACAATAGCTCAGATGTGCGAGTGCCTTTTGAATTGTATTTCTGTATTTTGAAAGTTATGTATCTTGAAAACTTAATTGCTGACATGCAAAACAGTTTGGGACTATATCAGCAATGGATGAATGAAACAAATACCAAACAATAGTTTTTGGGTGGAGTTTTCATTTAAATCACAAAAGACGTTATAACTTCTATTCCTTTTCCCTTTTTCTTCAGGGTGGAGCCATCTCGATTCTGACGGCGTGTGAACGACCAAATGACTTTGCCGGCGTGGCTCTGATCGCTCCTATGGTCAGGGTGAACCCAGAGTCTGCCACGCCCTTCAAGGTGGGTTTTGCTCATAGAAATATGCTTTACTTCCTGTCCACCCATTACCCACCTATTCTTGAATGGGGATGCCCGTTCTAGGATTATATTTCTGTGGTTTCACCTGCACCCAGTCCCCTCACATTTACCCTGTCACCAATGTTAACAATTCCATACCATGTTATTAGTCCCTTTTACAACCACTGACCTGAGCTGTATTAGCTCCCTACATGCCTTAGTAATCTCTGTGGATGTTCCGCTTTGTTCTATAGGTGTTCCTGGCTAAAGTCGCAAATCACATTGTGCCCAGTCTCTCACTGGGCTTCATTAAGTCTAAATGGATTTCACGGGACCAGAAACAGGTAAGTCTGGTCTATGGAATGTGTGTGTTTGTGTGTGTGTGTGTGCATGTGTGTGTGCACACACACACGAACAAAGACAGGTAGAGATAAGAGTGTACAGGAGCCTATGTCTGTCGTGTGTGTCTTTTTTAATGTTTTGGCGTCCGGAATTGGCGGCAGAGAGAAACATTTGCTGTTTTTCAGCTATTTTCCCACAATTCTATATATGTTTCCATGGAGCTGAGAGAAAGTGTTGCAGTGTGAAGGCTAATTTGCTGCACATCTACGCATTTTGCCATGGCTATTTCTGTGTTCTTATGCTCATACATTAATACAAAACCAATGGGGACCACAATCGGGGCCTCTGGGCATGTACCCTGCGTGCCCCGTCAGTAATCCAGCCATGCCAAAATACTCCTAAATTCATTGTTGAGACTTTTCGATTCTCCCTGACAGTTTAGCTTTTATTTTGGTGATTTCTAGATCTCAAAGATGATGCAGCCACCACCTTGCATAAAAATATGAAGAGTGGTACTCAGTGATTTGGCAGTTTTATTTTAGTGCGTTATTGCAAACAGGATGCAATTTTTGGAATATTTGTATTCTGTACAGGCTTCCTTCTTTTCACTCTGTCATTTAGGATAGTATTGTGGAATAACTACAATCAAATCAAATGAAATGTTATTTGTCACATGCGCCAAATACAACAGATGTAGACCTTACAGTGAAATGCTTACTTACAAGCCCTTAACTAACAATGCAGTTTTAAGAAAAATAAGTGTTAAGTAAAAAATAGATAAGATAGGCTAAATAAAAGTATACTAAAATAAAAATAGAAAAAATTATAATAATTAAAGAGCAGCAGTAAAATAACAGTACAGAGGCTATATACAGGGGGTACCGGTACAGGTTAGTCAAGGTAATTGAGGTAATATGTACATGTACAGTGCCTTGCAAAAGTATTCATCCCCCTTGGCGTTTTTCCTATTTTGTTGCATTACAACCTGTAATTTAAATTTATTTTTATTTGGATTTCATGTAATGGACATACACAAAAGAAAAATAATTACTTGCTTCAGAAAATTCTAAAAAATAAATACCGGAAAAGTGGTGTGTGCATATGTATTCACCCTTTGCTATGAAGCCCCTAAATAAGATCTGGTGCAACCAATTACCTTCAGAAGTCACATAATTAGTTAAATAAAGTCCACCTGTGTGCAATCTAAGTGTCACATGATCTGTCACATGATCTCAGTATATATACACCTGTTCTGAAAGACCTCAGAGTCTGCAACACCACTAAGCAAGGGGCACCACCAAGCAAGCGGCACCATGAAGACCAAGGAGCTCTCCAAACAGGTCAGGTACAAAGTTGTGGAGAAGTACAGATCAGGGTTGGGTTATAAAAAAATATCAGAAACTTTGAACATCCCACGGAACACCATTAAAACCATTATTAAAAAATGGAAAGAATATGGCACCACAACAAACCTGCCAAAAGAGGGCCGCCCACCAAAACTCACGGACCAGGCAAGGAGGTCATTAATCAGAGAGGCAACAAAGAGACCAAAGATAACCCTGAAGGAGCTGCAAAGCTCCACAGCGGAGATTGGAGTATCTGTCCATAGGACCACTTTAAGCCGTACACTCCACAGAGCTGGGCTTTACGGAAGAGTGGCCAGAAAAAAGCCATTGCTTAAAGAAAGAAATAAGCAAACACGTTTGGTGATCGCCAAAAGGCATGTGGGAGATGACCCAAACATATAGAAGAAGGTACTCTGGTCTTATGAGACTAAAATTGAGCTTTTTAGCCATCAAGGGAAACGCTATGTCTGGCGCAAACCCAACACCTCTCATCACCCAGAGAACACCATCGGCAGGGACTGGGAAACTGGTAAAATTGAAGGAATGATGGATAGCACTAAATACAGGGAAATTCTTGAGGGAAACCTGTTTCAGTCTTCCAGAGATTTGAGACTGGGACGGAGGTTCACCTTCCAGCAGGACAATGACCCTAAGCATACTGCTAATGCAACACTCGAGTGGTTTAAGCGGAAACATTTAATGTCTTGGAATGGCCTAGTCAAAGCCCAGACCTCAATCCAATTAGGAATCTGTGGTATGACTTAAAGATTGCTGTACACAAGCGGAACTCATCCAACTTGAAGGAGCTGGAGCAGTTTTGCCTTGAAGAATGGGCAAAAATCCCAGTGGCTAGATGTGCCAAGCTTATAGAGTCATACCCCAAGAGACTTGCAGCTGTAATTGCTGCAAAAGGTGGCTCTTCAAAGTATTGACTTTGTTTCACAATAAAAAATATTTTGCATCTTCAAAGTGGTAGGCATGTTGTATAAATAAAATGATACAAACCCCCCCCCAAAATCCATTTTAATTCCAGGATGTAAGGCAACAAAATAGGGAAAATGCCAAGGGGGGTGAATACTTTCGCAAGCCACTGTAGGTACAGTGAGGGAAAAAAGTATTTGATCCCCTGCTGATTTTGTACGTTTGCCCACTGACAAAGAAATGATCAGTCTATAATTTTAATGGTAGATTTATTTGAACAGTGAGAGACAGAATAACAACCAAAAAATCCAGAAAAACGCATGTCAAAAATGTTATAAATTGATTTGCATTTTAATGAGGGAAATAAGTATTTGACCCCCTCTCAATCAGAAAGATTTCTGGCTCCCATGTGTCTTTTATACAGGTAACGAGCTCAGATTAAGAGCACACTCTTAAAGGGAGTGCTCCTAATCTCAGTTTGTTACCTGTATAAAAGACACCTGTCCACAGAAGCAATCAATCAATCAGATTCTAAACTCTCCACCTAGCCAAGACTAAAGAGCTCTCCAAGGATGTCAGGGACAAGATTGTAGACCTACACAAGGCTGGAATGGGCTACAGGATCATCGCCAAGCAGCTTGGTGAGAAGGTGACAACAGTTGGTGCGATTATTCACAAATGGAAGAAACACAAAATAACTGTCAATATCCCTTGGCCTGGGGCTCCATGCAAGATCTCACCACGTGGAGTTGCAATGATCATGAGAACGGTGAGGAATCAGCCCAGAACTACACGGGAGGATCTTGTCAATGATCTCAAGGCAGCTGGGACGATAGTCACCAAGAAAACAATTGGTAACACACTACGCCGTGAAGGACTGAAATCCTGTAGCGCCCGCAAGGTCCCCCTGCTCAAGAAAGCACATATACATGCCCGTCTGAAGTTTGCCAATGAACATCTGAATGATTCAGAGGAGAACTGGGTGAAAGTGTTGTCGTCAGATGAGACCAAAATGGAGCTCTTTGGCATCAACTCAACTCGCCGTGTTTGGAGGAGGAGGAATGCTGCCTATGACCCCAAGAACACTATACCCACCGTCAAATATGGAGGTGGAAACATTATGCTTTGGGGGTGTTTTTCTGCTAAGGGGACAGGACAACTTCACTGCATCAAAGGGACGATGGACGGGGCCATGTACTGTCAAATCTTGGGTGAGAACCTCCTTCCCTCAACCAGGGCATTGAAAATGGGTCGTGGATGGGTATTCCAGAATGACAATGACCCAAAACACACGGCCAAGGCAACAAAGGAGTGGCTCAAGAAGAAGCACATTAAGGTCCTGGAGTGGCCTAGCCAGTCTCCAGACCTTAATCCCATAGAAAATATGTGGAGGGAGCTGAAGGTTTGAGTTGCCAAAAGTCAGCCTCGAAACCTTAATGACTTGGAGAAGATCTGCAAAGAGCAGTGGGACAAAATCCCTCCTGAGATGTGTGCAAACCTGGTGGCCAACTACAAGAAACATCTGACCTCTGTGATTGCCAACAAGAGTTTTGCCACCAAGTACTAAGTCATGTTTTGCAGAGGGGTCAAATACTTATTTCCCTCATTAAAATGCAAATCAATTTATAACATTTTTGACATGCGTTTTTCTGGATTTTTTTGTTGTTATTCTGTCTCTCACTGTTCAAATAAACTTACCATTAAAATTATAGACTGATTATTACATTTACGTCATTTAGCAGACACTCTTATCCAGAGCGACTTACAGTTAGTGAGTGCATACATAATTTATTTTTATTTTTCATACTGGCCCCCGTGGGAATCAAACGCACAACCCATTCCCTCCCCTACCCTGGACGAATTGTGCGCCGCCCCATGGGTCTCCCGGTCGCGGCCGGCTACAATAGAGCCCGGATTCGAACCAGGATCTCTAGTGGCACAGCTAGCACTGCGATGCAGTGCCTTAAAACCACTGCACCACTTTGTCAGTGGGCAAACGTACAAAATCAGTAGGGGATCAAATACTTTTTTCCCTCACTGTAGAGGTAAAGTGACTATGCATAGATAATAAACAGAGAGAAGCAGCAGCGTAAAAGAGGGGGTGGGGGGACAATGCAAGTAGTCTGGGTAGCCATTTGATTAGCTGTTCAGGAGTCTTATGGCTTGGGGGTAGAAGCTGTTAAGAAGCCTTTTGGACCTAGACTTGGCGCTCCAGTACCGCTTGCCGTGCAGTAGCAGATGGAACAGTCTATGACTAGGGTGGCTGGATTCTTTGTCAATTTGTAGGGCCTTCCTCTGACACTGCCTGGTATAGAGTTCCTGGATGGCAGGAAGCTTGGCCCCAGTGATGTACTGGGCCATACGCACTACCCTCTGTAGTGCCTTGCGGTCGTAGGCCGAGCAGTTGCCATATCAGGCGGTGATGCAACCAGTCAGGATGCTCTCGATGGTGCAGCTGTAGAACTTTTTGAGGATCTGAGGACCCATGCCAAATCTTTTCAGTCTCCTGAGGGGGAATAGGCTTTGTCGTGCCCTCTTCACGACTGTCTTGGTGTGTTTGGACCATGATAGTTTGTTGGTGATGTGGACACCAAGGAACTTGAAGCTCTCAACCTGCTCCACTACAGCCCTGTCGATGAGAATGGGGGCGTGCTTGGTCCTCCTTTTCCTGTAGTCCACAATCATCTCCTTTGTCTTGATCACATTGAGGGAGAGGTTGTTATCCTGGCACCACACAGCGAATGTTGTTAATCCATCCTCAGTTTTCTACTATCACAGCCATTAAACTCTGTAACTGTTTTAGAGTCACCATTGGCCTCATTGTGAAGTCCCTGAGCGGTTTCTTTCCTCTACGGCAACTGAGTTAGGAAGGTCTTCTGCATCTGTGTAGTGACTGGGTGTATTGATATACCATCCAAAGTGTAATTAGTGACTTCACCATGCTCAAAGGGATATTCAGTGTATTTTTACCCATCTTCCAATAGGTGCCCTTCTTTGCGAGGCATTGGAAAGCCTCCCTGGTCTTTGTGGTTGAATCTGTGTTTGACATTCACTGCTTGACTGAGGGACCTTACAGGTTATTGTATGTGTGGGGTACAGAGATGAGGTAGTCATTCAAAAATGATGTTATACACTATTATTGCACACAGAGTGATTCCATGCAACTTATGTGACTTATGCAAATATTTACTCCTGAACTTATTTAGGCTTGCCATAACAAAGGGGTTGAATACTTATCGACTTAATAATTCCGAAAAACATAATTCCACTTTGACATTATGAGGTATTGTGTGTAGGCCAGTGACACAAAATCTCAATTTAATCCATTTTAAATGCAGGCTGTAACACAACAAAATGTGGAAAAAGTAAATGGTTGTGAATACTTTCTGAAGGCACTGTAAGTTGGCTAGTCTTGGTAGCTAGCTAGCTTGTTACATATGCTGGTTGTTAGCTTGCGTAACTGGGGCGTGAATACTTTCTGAAGGCACTGTACTTTCTGTCTGGTTTTAGTCATTTAAGTTTGCACTGAAAGTGTTTTTCTATCCCGAAAATGTATTTCAAAAAAAGTATAAAACGTTTTTATTTTGGTGTGGCGGCAACAATTTAGCAGCGACCCACCACCGTGAGTGTTAGATACTGTATACTGATTGTATTCAACCCATATCTTATACAGTAGTATGCACATCATGGGTCAATATTGAGAAAGCCAATCGCCCTGTGGGTTACTATCAGTGAACGTCTAAGGGAAATGCTCAGTGATCAATCAACGGTCTCTTCCTTTACCCTGCAGGTTGAAGCATATGACACTGACGAGTTGAACTATCACGGTGGGATGCGTGTGTCGTTTGCCACGCAGCTGATAGGCGCGTCGGAGCGGATCGAGAGAGAGATCCCCGCCATCACCTGGCCCTTCCTGCTTCTCCATGGTGACGTCGACAAGCTGTGTGACATCGGAGGGTCCCAGATGATGTTTGAGAAGGCCCCGAGCACGGACAAGAAGATCAAGGTGGGACTAGCACCAGAGCCATATAGATCAAATATATTTAGATAAATATATAATAGAGAGGGGGAACAGAGAGCGTGAGAAATAGGGAACACAGAGAGGGGATGAAACAGATAGAGCGCTAATGAGAGGTGAGCTAATCGTGTGTGTGTTTTCTCTCTCTCAGGTGTATGACGGAGCATACCATGCCCTGCACCATGAACTCCCAGAGACAGCGGCGTCAGTGCTGAACGAAGTCACCAGCTGGATCTCCGAGCGTCTCCCTGCGTCTCCTTCTCAGGGGTCCTAGTCTCCTCTTCCTCCTCCTCTTCCTCTGCACCCCCCATCCCTCCCAACCACGCTCTCCATGCTGTATTACCACTGTATGAACCTCAAACCTTTCTACATTTGGACTGACCATTCGCAATACTAATGTCAACTTGTCAGTGACCTTTGGCCCCCAGGGCCATTGTAGGGAAGTCTTGATTTCCTAGGCTCTACATTAGGGACAACAGCTTTACATTTACATTTTAGTCATTTAGCAGACGCTCTTATCCAGAGCGACTTACAGTTAGTGAATACATATGTTTTTTTATACTGGCCCCCCGTGGGAAACGAACCCACAACCCTGGCGTTGCAAACGCCATGCTCTATCAACTGAGCTACATCCCTGCCGGCCATTCCCTCCCCTACCCTGGACGACGCTGGGCCAATTGTGCGCCGCCCATGAGTCTCCCGGTCGCGGCCGGCGGCGACAGAGCCTGGATTCAAACCAGGATCTCTAGTGGCACAGTTAGCACTGCGATGCAGTGCCTTAGACCACTGCGCCACTCAGGAGTACGCTGACTCAGGAGTACGCTTAGGAGTACGCTTAGACCACTGCGCCACTCAGGAGCTGTGCCCCAGATGCCAGGAGGCAGTTCATGGTACATATATCAGCCATATCTCCCTGAGTTCAAAGAGAACCATGCTGAGAGCTGGGCCAAGCGCAATTCACAGAGGTATTTTTGTCATTTGTAACCACGGTGATCACCAGGCCGACAGAAACGTGTTGAATTCCCACCATGCTGCGGTGCTCCCTTTTGTGTGTTGCCATGGAGACAACTGGCCTTTGTTCTCCCCTCCATATCTCAGATCCTCTGTTCATGGAGTCAAACATCTTGGACTCGTTTGAACACCCAATGCCCCAGACTGCCAGACAGCTGCCCCCAATGGTTATTTGTCAGAACTGCAGGGTTTAGGTGGCTGCAGCCCAAGACAGAGAAGCTGCCCGTTACTATGGCAGCATCTCAGAAAACCCCAATGAAAAAAAAAGGTTGAATCCATTGGAGCGCCACAGTAAAACAAGGCATGTTGTTACCCATTATACAGTAGATTCTGTGTACAGACAAAGGCATCGCTTCGCTGCAGTTGTCTCTGCATTGATAAAGATGACAGGGCCTTAATGTACCACCTGCAACATCAACATTTATGGGTGTTCCCCATAGTCTGCATTGGACTAATACAGATTGTAATGTATTGTTATGAGTGGAAAACCCGCCTATCTTGTAACATTGATGATTGATGGCCAATCTGATGAAAGCTCTCTGCTTATATTGTTTGCACGCTGGTTTGAGCATCAGATTGACTTGACAGATGGCCCCAGCATGGAACACATAGTTCTTGTGCTGGAGCTAGTCAGTCTTTGTGTGGTTAACAAACTGTCAATAAACAGCAGAAAGAAAGAAGGTCATGGTGTCCTTCTTCCCACGCCAACATCAACCAATGAGGAGCTGACAGGAATAAGAGAAGACTTATTCAGGTACAGTACAGTAGCTGGCAAAACTAAGCTAACTCTGGTGAAGTTAACTGTGAAGCTAACTTACTGAAGAGGCTAGCTAGTCAACTCTAAGGAGCCAACAACACTGGTGTCGGAAGTGCTTCATTTTATACTTTTTTTTATTTTATACTTTTTTTAAAGGTCCCGAACAGTGAAAATCATGTTTTTCATCAAATATTCAGATGAAACCAGTTCATAGTAGGTTGACCCAAGTATGAAAAATGACTGTATCTGGTACATTGACAAAGTTGATCATAGAGTTACTGGTTCCCTCCCCACATGTCAAACGCTTGGATTCAGGAGGCAGGCATTACTTCCGGCTTTATGCAATGTCACTTAAAGCCAGACATTTTATACACCAATGGTAGCATCCTGTAATCTTAACTAATTTAAATATGTAACGCCTTAAAACCGTCATCACATGTGCATATCATACAGCTTTGTTTACAAACTGTAAGATAGCTCAAGCAGAACAATACTGGTAACTAACCTCTTTTCATCTGTGTTGTAACTTTTAGCTAGCAAGCTACTTACCAGCATACCGGAAAAAGTACACTGTGTTGGAACTGGATGCCATAGTGTTAATTTAAAGTGGAACTGACAGCGTTTTAGCAAAATGAAATCTTATTAAAATTTGTTCATTGAAAGAATATTACACATTTTTTAAACATTTTTTGAGAAGCGAGCACTTAGATATGGTCATTTTCACGTTTTGATAAATTAATAGAATGTTTGGGAATGACGTATAGTAAGGCATTTGTGAAATTTATATAACAATATAAAGTGGGAAAGTGGCTGTGCGTTTGGACAATTAATAGTTACTGCAGTAAATAAAACCTAATAAAAACATCTGTCTTGTCCAGAAGACAAACTTTCAAACTTTCAGCTAGTTTTCAGCAAACTTTCAGCTAACTTTCAAACTTTCAACTAATAAACGATGGTGAATAGTAGCCTGCTCGTCCTTCTGCAGCTTGCCTCCCAATGCATGCTTGTACCAACACACGTTTTGACAACTGAATGGGAACTTGCCTGCCTGCCTGCCTGCCCATTTGATTGATACCAAATACATTTGACTGACAACTAAGAGATATGCTAACTGTGGATAACAGTCATTCAAGTTCAGCATAGCTAGCTAGCAAAGCAATTCATGTCTTGCTAGTTAACCAAATGACACCTACATCTCTAGCTGTAGCCACCGAAAAACGATATGAGGGGGAAAAGTCAGTCACTCACCCACTGCTCCAATGACATGACATCCTCCCAGCAGCTAGCTAGCTAGTTAACGTTAGCCTCCGTGTTTTTAGCTTGCTAAATAAATAGCTAGCTACATAAATAGATACACTAGCTTTGATGGGTGATTTGAAGGAGTCAGGCGCAGGAGGGTAAATCACAGAATAACATGATTTATTCAGGAATACAGGGTACGCAGGAAAGCGGCAAATCAGTTCAGTGCGCAAAACAGGCGCACTGGAACCAACAAGGCACACAGGGAAAATAACCCGGCGAATACAAAATACAAGGAGCTCCACCGAGCTTCACTATCCTCACAATAAACAATCACACACAAAGACAAGGGGGCAGAGGGAACACTTATACAGGTACTGATGAGGGGATATGAACCAGGTGTGTGTAATCAACAAGACAAAACAAATGGAATGATGAGATGAGGAGCAGCAGTGGCTAGAAGGCCAGTGACGACGAACGCCGAAGCATGCCCGAACAAGGAGAGACAGCCTCGGAGGAAGTCGTGACAGTATCCCACCCCTTGACACGCAGCTCCAGCAGTGCGCCGACACCGGCCTCGGGGACAACCAGGAGGATAATAATAATAATAATAATATGCCATTTAGCAGACGCTTTTATCCAAAGCGACTTACAGTCATGCGTGCATACATTTTTGTGTATGGGTGGTCCTGGGGATCGAACCCACTACCTTGGCGTTACAAGCGCCGTGCTCTACCAGCTGAGCTACAGAGGACCACAAGGATGCGAAGCAGGGCGAGCCGGATGGTGACGGTGGAAATCCCGCAACAGGGAGGGATTGAGGATATCCCTCACCGGGACCCAGCACCGCTCCTCCGGACCGTACCCCTCCCAATACATGAGGTACTGAAGCTCCCCCACCCAACGCCTCAAATCCAGGATGGAACGGACGGAGTACGCCAGGGCCCCCTCGATGTCCAGAGGGGGCGAAGGGACCTCTCGCACCTCAGACTCCCGGAGCGGACCAGCCACCACCGGCCTGAGGAGAGACACATGGAACGAGGGGTTAATTCAGTAATCAGAAGGGAGTAATAACCTATAAGTAACCTCGTTTATTCTCCTCAGGACTTTGAACGGCCCCACAAACCGCGGGCTCAGATTCCGGCAGGGCAGGCAGAGGGGCAGATTCTGGATTGAAAGCCAGACCCGATCACCCTGTACAAAGACTGGGGCCTCAATGCTGTGGCGGTCAGCGTTGTCCTTCTGGCGACGCACGTCTCCTCCGCATGCCAAAACCAGTCATCCACCGTAGGAGCTTCGTTCTGGCTCAGATGCCACGGTGCCAGAACTGGCTGATAACCTAAAACACATTTAAATGGCGTTCGGTTAGTGGAGGAGCGGTCGGAGAGAGTTCTGGGCATATTCGGCCAATGGCAAGAACACTGACCACTCCCCCAGCCGGTCCTGGCAGTAGGACCGCAGGAACTTACCCACATCCTGATTCACCTGTTCCACTTACATTTACATTACATTTACGTAATTTAGCAGACGCTGTTATCCAGAGCGACTTATAAATTGGTGCATTCACCTTATAGCCAGTGGGATAACCACTTTACAATATGTTTTTTTTTTTGGGGGGGGGGGTGGGGTAAGGGGGGGGGTAGAAGGATTACTTTATCCTATCCCAGGTATTCCTTAAAGAGGTGGGGTTTCAAGTGTCTCCGGAAGGTGGTGAGTAACTCCGTTGTCCTGGCGTCGTGAGGGAGCTTGTTCCACCATTGGGGTGCCAGAGCAGCGAACAGTTTTGACTGGGCTGAGCGGGAACTGTGCTACCGCAGAGGTAGGGGGGCAAGCAGGCCAGAGGTGGATGAACGCAATGCCCTCGTTTGGGTGTAGGGACTGATCAGAGCCTGAAGGTACGGAGGTGCCATTCCCCTCACAGCTCCGTAGGCAAGCACCATGGTCTTGTAGCAGATGCAAGCTTCAACTGGAAGCCAGTGGAGTGTGCGGAGGAGCGGAGTGACGTGAGAGAACTTGGGAAGGTTGAATACCAGACAGGCTGCGGCATTCTGGATGAGTTGTAGGGGTTTAATGGCACAGGCAGCGAGCCCAGCCAACAGCGAGTTGCAGTAATCCAGACGGGAGATGACAAGTGCCTGGATTAGGACCTGTGCCGCTTCCTGTGTAAGGCAGGGTCGTACTCTCCGAATGTTGTAGAGCATAAACCTACAGGATCGGGTCACCGCCTTGATGTTAGCGGAGAACGACAGGGTGTTGTCCAGGGT